AGCAATCCTGGATTCCTGGACTGTGGAGCTCGCAGCAACAGGAAGTGAGTCCTTGGGTGAGGAGGCCACGTGGTGCCCAGGCAGGAAGTAAGCCTCTATGGGGTGATCTCATGCAGCTCCGCGGAGCAGCTAGTGGCTAAGAGAGAGAGCAACCATGAGAGATTGGCTCTGTCCAAGTGTGACCTGTGCCTATGTCCCTGTAGAGCATGTTGGCCTTGTGGGACTTGGCACCTCTGGTTCCTAGAAAGTGTCTACCAGAGCAGTGAGGCATGTCCTTCTGTCGTGTGTGACTCAGCCTTGCAGAGTGACAGACCGACACGAGGAAGGTCAGGGTGCAGTCGGACACATGGCATGGTGGCTAAAGCTAGTGGGTGATCACGTTTGCTCCCTCCTCTTTTCCTCATGTAGCTGCCCAGCAGCAACGGCCTGGCAAGGCCGGAGGAGGCCCTCTTCCCACCATGCACTTCTCTTCCGTGCTGCAGCCTACCGAAACCCCCAGCTGCTGAGGCACGCACTAATGCAGCTCCTCGCCACTTTCTCTTTCCCTGATGAAGAGCCCATGGCGTAGACTGGTAGACTGGGAAAGCAACAAGGCCAGCTGCTGGGCTCCTCCGGAGGTGGCACAATTGGGGGATGCTGGGTTTGCTGTTCTTTCCCAAGGCCTTGTTTGGTCCCTGTTTGCCACCTCTCAGGGCTCCTCATCAGATAGCCGTGGACTCACAGTTCCCATCCTAGTCCGTGAGGTAAAGGGCTGGCAGTCTGTGCCTCTCAGGCTATGTGCTGGTGCTGTAGCCTTTTTGAAGGGAGTTTGTCATTTTCCTCTACACGTAGCCCAGCCAGTTCTCCTGGGACTGCCCTGTAGATCTGCGTGGCTATAGAGAACTGGAAGTAATAGAGCTCACTCCAGTAGGAAGCAGAACAGCCCCAGTACCGACGGCTGGCGAGAGTCATGGAGCATCCGCCAAGCAGGAGGCAGAGCCATATGCCACTGTGCTTATCAGGGAAGAAGTGCGCTGTAGAAGATGGGTAGCATGATAAACCATGATCTTGGATTGCGTTGTGTGTGTGAATATGTGGATAAATGCGTAACTTACATGTGACTGCGAAAAGCCTAAAAAGGAAGTCCAGCCTTTGGCACGTGCCTGTAATCCCAGCACTCTGCACACAAAAGGAGAATCAAGAGTTCAAGGCCAGCCTCAGATACATAGCTTGTATATAGCATAGGCTACATGAAACCTTATTTCACTTTTTAAAAATTATCTTATATATATGAGTGCTTTGCAAGCCTATATGTATGCTCACCATGTACATGGTTGTTGCTTGTGGAGGCCAGAAGAGAGACTGGAGCCCCTAGTATTGGAGTAGCAGTAAACCACTATGTGGTTGCTAGGAATAGAACCAAGGTCCTCCGCAAGAGCCATTAGCCATTGAGCCATGTCTCCAGCCTGTGAATGAAACAGTCTGAAAAGGCCGAGCAGGGTCCCTTATGCTAATCCTAGCACTTGGGTAGTAAAGGTGCTTGGATCTCTGAGTTCTAGGTCATCCAGAGCTACATGTTGAGACCCAGTTTGGAGGATGGGAACAGGGACTGAAAAGGATATTTGTCAAGCTGCTAATGATGATTAATGAGGAATAACTTGGGGTGTTAATATAGGAGTTTTAACGTTTTGTTTGTTTTTGTTTTTTGAGACCAAGTTTCTCTGTGTAGCTCTAGCTATCCTGGAACTTGATTTGTAGAGCAGGCTGGCCTCAAACTCACAGAGATCTGCCTGCCTCTGCCTGCCAAGTGCTGAGATTAAAGATGTGCACTCCTACCACCCGACCAGAGTTTTAACCTTAAAAAACTATTTCTTTACATTTTTGTTTACATGTATCTATTTGGTGTGTTGTATTATATATATGTGTGTGTGTGTGTGTGTGTGTGTGAGAGAGAGAGAGAGAGAGAGAGAGAGAGAGAAAGGAGGGAGAGGGAGAAACTGACTGACTTGTGGAGGTCAGAGGACAACTTGCAGGAGCTGGTTCCCTCCTTCCATCTTGTGGGTCCTGGTCATCAAAGTCAGGGCACTGGGCTTGGCAGCTGAGCCATCTTGCCAGCTCTGTTTTACTTTAACATTTTGATTTGTGCAATTGAAATTTTTTAAGGGGCTGGGACTTTGGCTTAGTGGGTACAGCCCTTGTCAAGAAGTACAAGGCCCTGGGTTCAGTTTCCAGCGCCACATAAACTGGGTGTTTGGTCCACACCCTCCCTGTTCCTCAGGTGGAGGAAGGAGGATCTGGAGGTCAAGGTGATCCTTACCTACATAGCAAGTTTGTGGCCAGCCTGGGATAATTATGACCCCATCACAGAAAAATGTGTAATATATGTCTCATTTTTATTACCAATTATATATTTATTTTGGTTTGGTTTGTTGAGAGACTCTCACTGTGTTGTCCTGGCTGGCCTAGCCTAGCACTGCCTCTGCCTCTGCACCACCATGCCAGGCCCATTACTTTTATAATAGAAAAAAATCCAGGCAAGGTAAATGCCTGTCAAGCACACCAAAGATGGGAGGATGATCAAGAGTTCAGGGTCGTCCTTACCTATTTAATAAATAAGTTCAAGGCCAGCCTGGACCCTGTGAAGCAAAGAACAAAGTAAAATATGCTGTAGCTCAAATCAAATAGGTTTGAATAATAAAAACCTCCCGGAGTCAGATATTAGGGGGTAAAAGCTGAAAGACAGAGAAGCAGAGCAACAGCCACTAAAGTTCTTACCTCTACAAAATCCTCAGACCGAATAAGGCTGAGCTCCTGTCTCCTCCTGCTTTATATTCCTCTCAGCCCAGCCATATCACTTCCTGTCTCCACCTCCCTAGTGCCAGGATTAAAGGCGTGAGATCCTAGGCCAAACGTGTGAGCTCTGTTTGTCTTTTAGACTGTTTTAGACAGATTAAATCTCAAGTAGTCCAATGTGGCCTTGAATTTCTGACCCTCCTGTTTCCACCTCCGAAGTGCTGGGATTAAAGTGTGTGCCACCACTACCTGACCTCTATGGTTAAGTAATGACTAGCTCTGCCCTTTGATATTCAGGCAAGCTTTATTTGTTAGAGCACAAACAAAATATCACCACAGTGTCTGTTGATTAAGTGTAATCACCTTCCCTGATAGGAGGGAGGGGGCCTTCTTTTTTTTTTTGATTTGGGTTTTTGAGACAGCCAGGTTGGCTTCAAACTCACTACATAGCTAAGGGTAACCTTGAACTCCTGATCCTTTTGTCTCTACCTTCTAGATGCTAGGATTCCTGGCATGTGCCACCATGCTTGGCTCATATCTCGCCTGGGGCTTGCTGAGCCAGTTCTGCCTCTGGTCTGCACTTCCTGCTCCTGAGCATTTTCTAACAGCAGGGTTGCTAAGCACATCTTAGTGCCTCCGAAGGTAGCAGAGTGTCCACCTAAGGCAGGGACCCTGAGCCACACACACCAGTCTGCCAAGATGGACACTGGTGGCTCACACCTTTAATCCCAGCACTTGGGAGGCAGAGGCAGGTGGATCTCTGAATTTGAGGCCAGCCTGGTTTATAAGAGCTAGTTCCAGGACAGACTCCAAAGCTACAGAGAAACCCTGTCTCAAAAAAACAAAACAACAACAAAAAAGATGTTCTGACCACTTGCCACAAGATGAGCAAAAACAGAGCACACTTGAACACGCGCACGCATGTGCGCACACACACGAAAGAGAGAGAGTGCGCAAATTCCCTGGCACACCTTGTCTTTGAAAGCAGACAACACTGAGCAAATGACTAAATTCTCCAGGAGCATCAGGTTCCTTCTTTGCTTCCCAGGGAAGCTGAGAGATACTGAAAGAAAGTAGACACACATACACCCGCGCGCGCGCGCGCGCGCGCGCACACACACACACACACACACACACACACAAGGACATGTGAGGACAGCCTGAATGAATCCTGATTTGATTTCTACTGGTTAGAGCCTTAGCAGACTGACCCCAGGCCCCAGGGGATAAAGCAGTCTGTTGTCTTTCCAGACAGGCGTGGCGGGCTCTATACCCAGGGCAGTTGCTGCTCAAGCTGGAGGCTGCTTGGGGCCTTGGTGAGCCTGGGTCAGAGTACCTATGGGGGCCTGATTTGGGGACAGAGATGTGAGGCTAGTTCATATCCAGAGAATGCTTCTTAGTACGTCTTTGACACCCCTGCCCCCTACCCCCATGAGAACATAGGAGGAAGCCTATGAGAGCTGTATTCAGGCCAGCCTCGGTGCCTCTGGGATTGATCTGGTGGCATTGGAATTTCCTGAGGAAGGGTCCAGTTTCATTGATGGAGCACAAGGAAAATTTTTGTTTTGTTTTTTGTTCTTATTATGTTTTGATTTATTATGTTCATCTGTGTAGGAGCACACACAGAGTGTTTGTGGAAGGCAAAGGACAGCTTTCCAGAGTGGGTTCTCTCTACAAAGGGAACTGAACTCAGGTAACCAGGCTGGCATAGCAAGCACCTTTACCTATGGAGCCATCTTGCCAGCTTTTAGTTTTAAGGCGGAATCTCATGTAGCCCTGGCTGCTCTCAAACTCAGTCTGTAGCTGAGGATGACCTTAAACTCCTGATCCCCCTGCTGTTACCTGCTGAGTGCTGGATTATAGGTGTGTATCACCATGTCTGGCTTACACAGTACTGGGCTCTGAACCCAGGACTTCATGCACGCTACACAAGAACTCTGTCAAATGGGCTACACCCCCAACTGCAGGATCATTGGTTTAGAAGTGGGAAGCCAGAGGAGTCTTGGTGAGTTGGGGTGCAGTGGGGTATCCCTGGGGTGGTAGGACCAGGTCTACCTGCCTGACATCCACAGTCCCCTTAAGCCTCTAATGTTGACAGCAAACCTGTGCCTGCATCTGCTTGTGTGAAGACACACATAAACCCATAGTGCACACAACTTTCATTAGAAACTCAGAGGGTCTGTGATTCGGGTCTGATCCTGACATTCCTCTGTTTTCATCCTTTCCAGGTGGAGAGCAGTGACACCCCCAAGGACCCTGCAGTGACCAGCAAGTCTCAGCCCATGGCCCAGGACTCTGGCTCCTCAGATCTGTTACCCAATGGAGACTTGGAAAAGCGGAGTGAGCCCCAGCCTGAGGAAGGGAGCCCAGCTGCAGGGCAGAAGGGTGGGGCCCCAGCTGAAGGAGAGGGAACTGAGACCCCACCAGAATCCTCCCGAGCCGTGGAGAATGGCTGCTGCACAACCAAGGAGGGTCGTGGAGCCTCTGCAGAAGAGGGTGAGTCCCAGCCCGAAGGAAACCTCTTCTGGGCCCTCTGAGCCCCTAAGAGTCACAGACTTGGGTCTCTGGCAGGTTTCAGGAGGCTAAGCAAAGGTGGGAGCTGACCATCTTTTTGCCAAGGCCATGGTCTAGAAGCTACTGGATGAAAACAGCCTGTATACATGTTTACTTGGCCCACCTAGTGTGCTAAACAGTTAAAAACATTAGTTGCCAGTATTTTGAAAAAAATCAAGAAATTCCACATGAAAATCTGGAGATTTGGCTCTTTGTGGGGAAGGAAAAAAGCTGGCTTTGGCAACAGGCAACAGGGGGTTTGCATAATGCCAAGGGATGCTAAACTGGGGTAATAAGTGCCCCCCTTCTTTCTATGCTGGTTGTGTGCCTCAGTTTCCCTCCACTGCCAGCTGGCCTGCTTACTCTTATACATGAACTGCCTGGGCTCACGAGGACACACACCATGCTCACCTGTCCTGGTGCAGAGATTCTGCTGGCACACTGTAGTTTGGCTGACTCCATGGTAAGCTTCCACTATGTAGATTGTGACAGTGGACACTAAGGGGAGGGCTGAAGGAAGCCGGCTGCACACTGCCCTGCTCAGACCTCTCCATCTGGGGACTTTGTGGCCTAGCTCCGAATTTTGGAAAGTTGCCCACTTTTTCACTTTTAGGTTAAGCCAGAGATTTCAGGGCCAAGCAAGCTGTAAACAAGTGAGTAATGAGGACAGCTAGCATTTGTACCGGGCTTCACAGTTTACACGGCACCTCCTCCTCCATTATCACATCTGATCCTCCCGGGCCCTGCCAGGTTGTTTTGCATATGTGCATTTTAATTTCAAAAAGTCTTCCTTCCAAGTGTGTATGATGGAATGAGTAAATTGATTAATTGGCATAACTTATTTTTGCATGAATCCAAACCTAATATTTATGCAGAAGAGGGAATATTTCCAGAAAAGAGGTTTCCAAACTTATTTTGAAATATCGTTCATTCATTATTCAGCAAATATTTGTGATGTTCCACCATGTGCAGAGTGTGCTCTGAGGCGCTCTGCATTTGTTCTTCTGTTTACTCTTCCAAGTGATTCTGTTCAGGAGGTGTTCTTAGCGCCGCCCCCACCCCCACCCCACCCCCACCCCCCAGTCCCAGATGAAAGTACAGTTTAGGAAGTGACTTGTTCGTGCCTCCAAACCTGCCTCTGGCCTCAGAATTTTTTTCTTTTTTTTCAAAGAAGGTCTCACTATGTAGCCCTGGCTGGCCTCAAACTCAAATGTTGCCTTCCTCTGCTTCCTGAGTACTGGGGTTAAAGGCATGAGCCACCACTGCCTGGCCCTAATTTTGAACTTTTTGATCCTTCTTCCTCCATCTCCTGAGTTCCGCGATCACACAACCATGTACCCCATGCCTATTTTATTATTTGTGTGTATGGGTGTGGTACTTGGGCATGCCATGACATACATATCGAGGTCAGAGGGCAACTTGATTCTGTTCTCTCCTTCCAGCATGTAAACCCTTGGGATGGAGATCAAACTCACTGTTAGATTTGGCCACAGGCACCTTTATCTGCTGAGCCATCTTGGCTGCCCATACCTGTCTTTATGTAGTTCTGGGGATTGGGCCCAGAGCATTGGACTTTATGTATGCTGGGCAAGCAGTGTACCAACTGATCTAACCCTCCAGCCCAGGATTGGTAAACGTTTCCCCTGCTCTTCTGCTCTGTTCTGCTGTGCTGGCCTGTGTGGCTCTCAGCTCTCCAGGCCGCAGAGGAGTGTTGGGAGAGCTTGAGGAGAGATACCTCTTTGCAGTTCACAGTGGCAGGCATGCCAGAGAGCTCAGCGCCCTTCCTAGCCAGACGCCTGCTCCTGTGACTCACCTCCGGAGTGCTGGGATCACACAAGGCAGGTGCCCAGAGCCAGGGCCAGGGCAGTCCCTTCCGCCAGGCAGGATGGAGCCAGAGCTCCAAGGATGCTCTTTGACCTTCAGGGTTTGTTTAAGGGTTTTCCTGTGTGCATTCCAGTTCTTAGGCACTCACTCAGCCAGCGAGTGTTCATTAAACATGTTTGGTGTGTGCCAGGTCCTGTGCCAGCCTGTGGAAGCCATCCTGAACAGAAACCTGGCTCTTTTCCTCAAGGACTTCACAGTTGGTTAAAGACTCTGCTCTTTCAGATGTGCCATTAGGGCTAGACATGTAGCCTGGGTTTAACCCTCAACACTGCGGTAACTGGCATAGTGTCCAAATCTCAGGATTTGGGAAAAGGACTGAAAGTCAGGAGTTCAAGGTTATCCTCTGCCCATCAACTTTTAGTCCAGCTTCCTCTCTCAAAAGCAATATGATGGGGCTGGAGAGATGGCTCTGAGGTTAAGAGCATTGCCTGCTCTTCCAAAGGTCCTGAGTTCAATTCCCAGCAACCACATGGTGGCTCACAGCCATCTGTAATGAGGTCTGGTGCCCTCTTCTGGCCTGCAGCCATACACACAGACAGAATATTGTATACAAAATAAATATTAAAAAAAAGCAATATGATAACAAATCACACGTGTGGTTGTGCCAGACAGTGCTCCTTGAGTAAGAACAGTACCGTGAGGAGCTAGGACATCAAGACCTGAGCTATTCTCTCATAATTGGGTGTGCTGGAGCCCATCACAGGAGGGCTGGGGGAGAGAAGACAGTGAGAATAGACTGGTTCCAAGGTGGAGAGAGCAGGGCATAGAGGCCGAACAGAAGCCACCAGACTGGATGGGAGAGAGCCAGGGGGAAGGATGTGGCAGGGAGTGGGTGGCAAGTGGCCAAGCCAGGTTTTCCTAGCTGTCTTCTTAGGGCTGGACCTGACAGGCTGCTTGGAAAAGATGACTTTCCTTGTAGACTCCCCAGCAGTTTGAAAGGTCTGGGAAGTGGGGTGAGAAGTTAGGGGGCTGCTGCAGGCATGGGGAGGAAGCAGTCAGCTCTGATAAGCAGCTGGAATCCACAGAGATGGAAGGAGATGATCGCAGAGATGTAGGGAGGTAGCAAATGCCTCCATCTAAGAGGTAAAGAAACGTCAAAGGGTTGATGGGCTGGATTGGGAAGTTACAGGCAAGTCCAGTCATGGTAGGCACAGACATCCAAGGTCTCAACTTCCATTTGACTTGGGGCATTCACTCCTGACTCTAGAATTCCAAGAGAGGTGTGCAGTGGCCTCCTAGAGACTCTGGTCTCTGCCCCAGCAGTCAGCTGATAGTGTGTGCCCAGCTGAAGACCTCAGATGAGGAACGAAGAGACTCAGACATAGTTCCCCTCCTTCCAACACTCTTCAGAGAGTTGTAGGTGGATTTTTCTTTGGGCTACCAACTCACAAAAAAATGACATGGATTCTTATTAATTATGAAAGCTCAGCCTTTAGCTTAGGCTTGTTTCTAACTGGCTCTTAAAACTTAAGCGAGCTGGCTCGTGGCTTTTCCCTCTCCTCCTGCATGTCTTGCTCCCTCTGTGCCTGGCTGGCGACTCCGTCTTTGTTCTTCCCAGAGCTCTCTCTGTCCAGAAGTCCCTGCTATACCTCCTGCCTAGCTATTGACCATTTAGCTTTTTACTAAACCAGTCACAGTGACTGTCTTTACACAGTGTAATCAAACATCTGGCAACAGAGATTTCCTTCTATCCTTCCTGGAAAGCCATGGTGCCTGCCTATACTGCACAGTGTGCTCTGCCCTCAACTGCTGGGTGGTCCACAGGCTAGCTGTGTCTATAGTACCTGGGAAGCCAGGATACAGACTGTAGCTCTACCTTCGACATCCTCACACTGATGTCAGCCTGTGCCAAGTGAGGAAGACTGTCTCTGCTTTTCTTATGGGGAAGAAAGTAGGGAAGCCAGGTGTACAAGCACGTGCTTGTAGTCTCAGAACTTGGTGTGTGGAAGCAAAAGGATCAGAAGTTCAAGGTCATCCTCAGCTACTGAGCATTGGAGGCCAGACTGGGCTACCGGAAGCCTGTCACAGAGGAGTGGGTGAAGGTCAGCATAAGGCCGCTCTGCTGAGACTGAGCAGGGAGAGAAATATGGGCTAGTAACCGTGCTTATATTAAGTCTGGCATCTGCCCTTTCACCGGGATACTGGCTCATTGTAAAGAGAATTTGGTGGTCCTTGCTGGCTACCCACTTGAAGCTCCTGACCTCCCCTGTCCCCAGGACCTGGGGTTTCTTGGGGCCATGTTCTTCTCCTCCAGGGTCACTCTGGAAGGCACGCAGCCACCTGGCTCTGGGAATCTGGGTCTGGGCCAGGAGCAGACAGAGGGAGCCCTCAGAGAGTGGGACCGCCCAGCATTCTATGACAGCCAATCTGCCGGCCGGGCTGGAGAGAGGAAGAGAGTGCGCCCCTGCGCCTGCGTGTGACCGAGAGGACGCTCTCTCACGTGGGCATGCGCAGTCTGTCGGGGAGAAAATTCCAGAAAGAAGCCATTTAGAAACTGTTTCAGGAAGTCTCCATTCGGAAGACCTTGTGGGCTGGAAGCCTGGCAAAGCAAACGAAGAATAACGGTGGTAGCGCACCTGGGAGTCAGGAGCCCTGAAATCAGATTATAGATCTGCTCACCAGACCTCCGTTTCCTCGTGTGAAACATTCAGAAAACTCAAATGCATCTTTTCAGCTCAGATTTTCTTTTATTCTAATAAACAAATCACTCCTGGTAAACGTAACCAAAAGCCACTGGGTATGGTGGTGGTGGGTATTCAGAAAACTCTTAGGGTCAGTAGATAGTACAACAGCGTGGGTCAGCTTGGGGACCTCACTCACCACCCTCAGCCGCTTGTTGCGTGGCTGCTGCAGCTGTTGCAGCCTCAGCAGGAGTGTGGAATGCGATCCAGAGCAGGCGCCCCTCCTGGCAGCTTGGGTCCTGGGCGGAGCAGCGAGGTCTGAAGGAGGGGCTGGTCCCAGAGGTGGGAGGCCCCAGAGGTGGGAGGTCCAGGGCAGGCCTGAGGGCGAGCACCGTGGAAAGTGGGCGGTGGGAGTGGAAAGTGGGCGGTGGGAGTGGAAAGTGGGCGGTGGGAGAGAGACCGTGGAGGAAGAGACCGAGTCGTGAAGGGTGAGACATGACTTAAACGGACAACCACGTACCCTGTGCTGGGAGGGTGCACGCCCCCACCCACACGTGGGTGACGGCCACCACGCTCCTCCCACGCAGCGCTTCCACGAGGCCCAGCGCCACACCTACCTCCCACGGGGTCCACACCCATGGGGTGTCCCGCAGGGGCTCTGCCCTCCCTGCCTCCCTCCCACCACTGTAGATGGAAGCCAGGCACACGTGGCTGCCGGGGTGGGGTGTTCAGGGCAGGTGCAGAGAGGAACCCCAGGTCATGTCTGGTAACAAGAGGGAAACGTCCAGGCTAAAAATTCAGAGCCGTAAATGCTGCTGCGGGTGGTTTCCGCTCCTGTGCTAGGCGATGCAGGAGGGGCTGTTTTTTCCGTTTGGGGCCCTTTGTCTCCGTACCCCCTCCCCTTACACACCACGCTACGTGAGCCAACCTTAGTGACCTTCCTGCTCTAGGCCTAAGCCCTGTATTTTCTCAGCCTCAGAAAAAAAAAAAAATCAGGCACCTAAGTGAAAGGCAGCAGAATTCTCCCAATTTGCTGGGAAAAACCGTACAGCTGGCTGCAGAGGGGGCTGGCTGGGAGAGGAGCGGGGCGGGCAGGCAGAAGCGGAAAGAAAGATGTGGCAGCAGCCCTCATGTCGGGCCCAGAGTCCTTCCTAAAGATGGCGCTGTGGGGACTGCTGCTCCCAGCCCAGATGTCCCTCCTTGGAACTGGAATCAGTGCCCAGGCCAGAACTTTGAGAAAAGCCAGAAGAACAGAGAAATGTGTGCTACAGGGAAGAAGGAGTTCCTTGGGGCGGGGACATGCTGACATGACACATATTGAGCTCCTACTGTATGCCAAACCCTGCTCCACACCAGTGCTCACTCCAACCTTTAGAAGACTGGCGAGGAAACAGCAGAGATTAGGGGGTCATACTGAGGCAGTTCGAATCCAGACTGCTCTTGATGATCTGAGAGTGGGCCAGGAGCGGAGGACAGTTTACATGTTAATACTATTTGGAACTGTTTACAGTTTATCTTACGAAAGATAGGGCTGCGCCACCGGGGTCCAGTCCAGCTGGCCCGTTGGCCACGTCTGGGCACCTTTTCCTACCTCACACAAAGAAGTGAACAGCCTGGCTTCTTCAGCTCAAACCCTCCTCTGCCTCTTCACCCTCCTGCTCCTCGCTTTGAAGGGGGGCTGGAGGCCAGCAGCGGATGGTGGCTGCTTCGAAGAGAGCAGGGTTCGTGGGCCAGAAACCATGCCCCCCGGCTTTTCTCTTACTCCTATGTTCTTGGGTCTGGGACCTGGATCAGACATTGTTCTGTGTCCTTGGAGCCAGCATGGCTGACACAGGAATGGACGAATGCTGGGAGGCCCCCAGGCTCCTCCAAGCCACCCCTGTGACAGTCCCCTTGTCCTTCCCTTTCCACAGGCAAAGAACAGAAGCAGACCAACATCGAATCCATGAAAACGGAGGCAAGTGTTTTCCTCACCCCCAGGGGCTCTGGATCCTGTTTCTAGAAGAAAGCCACCTCTCTGACGGACTGTGGCGAGTGTGTGTGAGGGGGGCCCGAGGGTGGGTCCCTGCCCCTTCTTTGGTGTCCTTTTGTGAGAAGGAGAGGAAGTGGGGGTGGAGGTTGGAAGTCCCCTAGCCAGGGAGCCAGCTCATCCCCCTCCGGAGATCAAGCACTTCCCCCACTGTCTTGTTCTTGTGTCCCTACCAACTTCGAGTCCCTCCTCAGTACTCTGGGGTCAACAACCCCTCTGTTTGGGATGAGTGACCCATCTCGGTTTCCCCTCCACGAGGGGCAAACCCTCAGGGGTGTCTGTGCCCACCTTATAATGCCTGTTTATCTTCTGTCCTAGGGCTCCCGGGGCCGACTGCGGGGTGGTTTGGGCTGGGAGTCCAGCCTCCGTCAGCGACCCATGCCAAGACTCACCTTCCAGGCAGGGGACCCCTACTACATCAGCAAACGGAAACGGGACGAGTGGCTGGCACGATGGAAAAGGGAGGTGAGATGCCTTCTACCCTCGGTGCCAGGTGTGAGAGCCGCAAACCGGAATTCAGTTCTAGCTGCCCTCTGGAACTCTTGTCAGGCTTTCCGCTAGGGTTAACTCCGAGAATTCCCAGACTCCTACTGCTAGGCTAGGTGGTTCATTTGTCCTCTCATAGTCCTTTTGGGGTGCTAGCTGTGGGGGAGGTGGCGCATGCCTATGGCGCTGCTGCCCATGTGGAGTTGATGCTCTGATGTGTGAGAAGAACAAAACGGATTGAAGGCTCAGTGAGGCCTCGGTGGCATTTCCTGCTCAGACTGTCTAGATGTGGACAGTGGTGCAGGTGGCAGCAGGGGAGACAGGACAGTCGACGGACAGGCCAGAGAGCGGCTACAGCCATGACAAGGACACTGTGATGACTGTGCTGTTTGCTTTGGTAGGACTAGTTGTTGGGATCACGAGTTCAGAGTTGAACTGGGCGGTGGTGGTGCACACCTTTAATCCCAGCACTTGGAAAGCAGAGACCGGCAGATCTCAGTTCAAAGCCAGCTTGGTCTACAGAGCAAGTTCCATGACAGCTAGGACTGTTACCCAGAGAAATCCTGTCTCGAAAAACCAACCAACCAACCAAACAAAAAACTTCAGAGTTCAGTGCCAAGGAGCTGGAAGCTGGACTTTGGGCTGCAGATTCCGAGGTGAAAGCAAGGCAAGGTCTGTGGAGTCTTAGCATTCCGTGTGCAGAAATTACCAAGGTTGTGGGCCAATGAGAACAGAGCTGCAGCTGTGGGCCTGAGAGGAGAGAAAGTGTGTCTCGGAGAGCTGGTTTCCCTAGACAGTGGGGGCATGCCTCACACTGGTCAAGCCTGAGGGAGCTGGTGCTTTTCCCAAGAACCCTCTGTGGGATCTAGAAGGAAGCTGGAAGCAGCCCAGGACTGCAAAGGGAAGGAGGTGGGAAGGTAGATAAAGACCTAAGCAGCCATCAATCCTTGAAGATCAGCTGTGGGAAGGGTGGGTTGTGGGGGCCACTCCCACAGGGAGGGAGAGGAGGAGGGAGAGGAAACAGGGTCTTGACCTCAGGCTATCTGACCGTGTGTGCTGGCTGGCCCTAGAGAAAATTCCAAACAAGGGGGAGGGGATGTAGTTGGTTCTGGCTGCTTTGTTTCTAGTTCCTTTGGGATCCAGGAAGGCAGAAGTCATCCTTCTGAAGGAGTGGAGAAAGGGCAGCCTGGCCAAGGTCTGAGAGGGGCACCTATAGCCCTGAGCACCGAGCTTGGGGTGCACTGTCAGGAAGTGACTGTTGTCTCTCTTCTCCTGGGACCTTGGCCCTCGGGCTGTGTGTGTGGTGCTTCTGTTCCTGAGCCCCCAGTCAGAGGTGCTGAGGTGGTGACTTAAGGTCTCCTCTGTCAATCAGCACGCGGAGGTCAGCTTGAGGCACAGTTAGAAGGGGTTTTCCTACTCCTAGGAAATGAAGATCCATTTTTAACAATTTTAAGTTTCTGCTAAAATTTTAAAAGATTTGTGTGGTCAAGTTGGCCCCAGTCAGTAAGGGAACTCGTCACGTCACTGAGGCTGACAACTTGAGTTTAGTCTCCAGAACTCCCACAGAGAAGAACCAACTCCATCCTCCACATAGGTGTACACACACACACACACACACACCAAACAAACAAACAAACAGAGGTAACAGTTTTGAAATTTAAACTCAGAACATGAAGGTAGGTATGATGGCACCTACCTATAATCTCAGTATTTGAGAGATTGAAGAAGGAAGATACATGTTTGAAGCCAGTCTGGTCTGTATGTCACCACATAGTTCAAGCTCTGCCCCACCTACACATACACACCCAGCAAGCCGCAGTCACCCACAAAACAAAAATAATAAGTTAGGAGGCAGGTGTGGGCAGCGCATGCCCGAAACTCAGGGGACAGAGGCAGGTGGATCTCTGTAAGTTTGAGGCCAGCCTGCTACAGAGTGAGCTCCACAGTGGCAGCCAGGACTGTTAACGTAGTGAAACCTTTGTAGTTCTTGGTATTTTACTCTTTTGGCTCTTTACTCTTTGCTCTTTTGGGGAGCGCGCCACCCAGAGCTCCCAAATAAATCATAAACAGAGCCTTATTCTTAATTATAAATGCCTGGTTTTAGCTTGGCTTGTTTTTTGCTGACTTCTTAATTTATAATGTCTACCTTTTGCCTCTGGGCGTTTATCTTTATCCTATATACCTTTCTTTACTTCTTACTCAGTGGCTTGCGGTGTAGCTAGGTGACTGGCTCCTGGAGTCCTCCTCTCCTTCTCTTGCTCCTCTATCCTCTCTCCCCAGATTTCTCCTCCTATTTATTCTCTCTGCCTGACAGTTCCACCTATCCTTTCTCCTGTCTAGCTATTGGCTATTCAGCTCTTCATTAGACCAATCAGGTGTTTTAGACAGGCAGAATAACACAGCTTCATAGAATTAAACAAATGAAGCATAAAAGAATGCAACACATCTTTGTATCATTAAACAGATGTTCCATAGCATAAACAAATGTGAAACATCCCAAACTAATACTCCACCAAAAAAACAAAAACAAAAAAACCCCAAAAAACCTGTCTTGAAACAGAATAGTCTAATAAAAAAAAGTTAGGAACACTGACCAAGTGTGGTGGTGCATGTCTTTAATCCCAGCACTCAAGAGGCAAAGGACAATGGGTTTCTCTGAGTTCAAGGTCAGCTCTGTCTACCTAGGGTGTTCCAGGCCAGCCAGGGCTACATAGAAAGACCCTGTCTCAGAAAATTAAAAAAATTAGGAACATTTGTTAATATGCATAAAAGTGGAATGAGAAATCTGTTATATAAAAATGCAGATATCTATCTATAACACATACATATCTCTATATCTATGTCAGTATCTCTGTATATGCATGTATCTGTCACCTACGTCAGCAATTAGCAGTTATCAAAAGCTTTTCTAGTCTCTGCTAGATCTGGGCATTTGCTTTCTCACCCCACCCAACACAGATGCCATTGGTCTTTAAGCGATAACAGAAAAGTGGAAAACATTGAGTTTGAAATATTGGAGGTGCCTGTGACTTGCAGTGTGGAGACCCCAGAACAAAATATACTTCCTCGCAATAAAATGAACTGTGACTTATAGTGTGACTAGGTCTACAGATCTTTTTGAGTTGTAACTACACGTGCCTTGATCCTTGACTGGCCACAAGCCTCCAGGACAGGAGAGGAGTGGGGCCAGAATGTAATTAAAGTTTAGGTTTCCCAATCTTAAAGAGTTTAGCTCGAAATGCCACACCCTGCTAGCTAGGGGACAAGGAAGGACTAAAACACAGGTGGCTTTCCAAACTACAGCACAGAAACTATCAGGCCCACTTTCTTTATATATATATTTTATATATATTTAAGATTTATTTAATGTGTATGACTGCTTTGCCTACATATGTGTCTGTGGATCATGTGTGCTTGGTGCCCACAGAGTCAGAGGAGAGTGTGGGATCCCCTGGAACTGGAGTTATGGGTAGCTATAAGAGTTGTAAGGCACCATGTGGGTGTTGAGAACCGGACCTGGGCCTTCTTCAAGAACAAGTGCTCATGACTGCTGAGCTAGCTCTCCACCCTCCCCACCTCCTTCTAAGGCTAACCTTAGCTCCTCAGCCCTTGACATTTTCTTCTGATACTGCTTCCCTGGGCCTGAAGTTTACGCTTCCTGCATTTCTCCGCAGTCTATTTTGTCCCCCTTTGCTCAGGTATTCTCAGGTCTCCCCTTCTTGACCCACCTACCACTTACCTGCATTTCTTGGTTTGGGGTGGGGGTTGTTTTTGTTTTTTTTTTTTTTTTTGCTACGTAGCTAAGGCTGACCTTGAATTCCTGATCTTCCAAAGTACTAGGATCACTCGTGTGTGCCTCAGAACCCTAGTATAAGATTCACTAGGAGAGCTTTCATGGATTGAATTCCCTGCCCTCCCACTCCTGACCACACCCACACCCTCCATGCCTCCTCGCCACAGCTGCACCTGCTTCCCAGGCACTGCCACCGCAAACATTTTCTACATGGAGGGGATGTCATTGTCATCCGTGCTTTCAAACTTCTCAGACAGTTTGAGTCCCCTGAGCTCAGTGACCAGCCAGGTAGTGGTAGCGCACACCTTCAATCCCAGCACTCAGGAGGCAGAGACAGGCAGATCTCTTTGAGTTCGAGGCCAACCTGACCTACAGAATGAGTGAGTTCCAGGATAGGCTCCAAAGCTTCAGAGAAGCATCAGACCGAGATTCATCAGCAGGAGGCAGCTTTGGACTTTCAGGGAGGAGGGCAGGAAGCATTCTGAAAGCCATTATTTCATCTCCAAGGTTCCCAGGATTTGTCAGGAATGGAAATGTGTGGTCCAAGCCTGAAGGGTTGGCCTGCGCTGCTGGGAGTCTCCGCTAGCTCCCACCTGCATCTGTACCACCTCGGAGGCTTTTTTCACCCTAAAAGCCCCCTTCCTAGGCCTAGGGACATAGCCCAATGGGAGAGCACTTGCCTAGCAAGCTAGAGGCCTTGGCTTCAGTCTCTGCTCACACAAATAAGAAGCTCCTTTCGCAACCTGTTTCCCCTTTCTCCACCTTTGTCAGTCACATCTCAGCCACTGGGGAGCGCATACTTTTCACCTGCCCAAGATAAAGTCCCGAAGATGGCGTGTGCCTTCTTCCCAGCGTTCAGGAGGTCAAGGCTGCTGGGTCTCTGAATTCAAAGGCTAGCCCTAGTCTACATAGCAAGTGAGGCCTGTCTTTTAAAAAGTAAATACATAACTTACATTGCACAAATGAAATAAACTTGAAATAGGCGATGAGGAGAACGGTCATTTCCTTCATCTCTGAATGGGACTGCCAGAAAGTGGAAGGCTGCTGTCTTCTGTCTGCTGGCCCTGCTGTAATAAATGACTGAGCCCTGTTACAGGGCACATGGCAGCTCCTCAGTGCCCCATCACATATACAGGTTCTGGCTGTTTCTCATTGTTTCAACCCTGTGACCTCCACGGTGGATGTT